GTTTCGGCATTGTAGGGAAAAACCATTCGTTTAATAAAGGCAAACTTCCTGAAATTTGGGGTTTGATATGTAAGCATAGTTTTTTCTTCTAGGCATGTGAAGTGCTGTATACAGTATTCATTATTTTTATTCATAAGAAAGCATTAACCTATATGTATTATGCAACATCTGAGAATGGGCATCCTTTATAAGTCATGTATGTCATAGTAACCACACAATGGGGCTGTATCTAATCTTGCTTAAAATTCATTAGTACAGAGGTAGTGTCAGGCTTACACCTGACAGGACCCCAGGTTGTGCCATGAACTAGGAAAGATGTATGAGAAACTCACCCAACACCTGCTGCTCTTCTTGCCTAGCAGTAAATACTGTAGATATCTAGGTATTTATGGTTGAGTAAGTTTATTCAGGTACACGTATACATAAATACAGTTATATAAATTATCAAACATAGCAACATAGATTACCTAGGATAACCCAAAAGAGTCAGACTTATTTCCACTGGGACCTAGCTACTGGTAAGTAGGTACTTGGGTGTTAGCTGACTAGGGCAAGTAATATCCTAGGGTGATCAAAGGGCCTCAATAGGTTATTCTGAGTTACTAATAATCCAAATCAAATTTTCTTCTTTAACCCGTAAACGGTCCAAACGTATATATACGTTTTTTCAACATTTGAAAGTATGTAAAAAAAGTAATCTTTTTTTTTTTTACATTTGAAAATGTGTAAAAAAACTTTGATTTACTTTTTTATATATATTTGAAAATATGTAAAAAAAACGTAGATCAACTTTTGGAGCACTACACATGTGAACGTAGATCTGCTTGGACCGTTTACGGGTTAAAGGGTTAGTCGATAATTATAAGATGCATCCTGGGGAGAACCAAATAGGACCCCAATAGAAATATGCCACACTGCCTGTCTTCTTGGGTTATTCTGGGTTATATGGGTTAGCTACTACTACATATTATTATATTAGTAAACAAGCGCTATATTATTTTATTTTTTTTATTTTGCCACTGAAGTGGCTAGTTTATTGTGCACCCCATATCCATCCTGTGGACGGTAGCACAAGAACATATGGATACACAAAAGGCCTAGGAACTAGGCCCCAAAGGGTTAACAGGAATACATATAGATTTATATCTACTTATCTATATTTATCTGTTACAAGCAAATTTAAGAAATTTGCTTAGTATATCTGGTATCTTATTTTCACTAATAAGATATCTTGACATGTCACATAGGTTATTATACTGTCTGTCTCTGTATTCCTCAATAAGTGGACATTTAAGCACATAGTGTTCAAGACAGTGACCATATTTCTGACCACATAATTTACAAGTGCACACACCACACACTATCACTCAACAAGTGCACACACCACACACTATCACTCAACAAGTGCACACACCACACACTATCACTCAACAAGTGCACACACCACACTATCACTCAACAAGTGCAAACACCACACACTATCACTCAAGTGCACACACCACACTCAACAAGTGCAAAACACCACACTCAACAAGTACACACACCACATCAACAAGTGCACAAACCACACTCACAAGTGCACACCCACACTCAACAAGTACAAAAACCACACTCAACAAGTGCACACACCACACTCAACAAGTGAAACAACCACACTCAACAAGTACACACACCACACTCAACAAGTGCACACACCAACTCAACAAGTGCACATACCACACTCAAAAGTACCACACCACACTCAACAAGTACACACACCACACTCAACAAAGTGCAACACCACACTCAACAAGTACACACCCCAAACACTCAACAAGTGCACACCCACACCAACAAGTGCACACACCACACACAAAAATTTTAAAAACCCCACACTCAAAAAGTGCACACACCACACTCAACAAGTGCACACACCACACTCAACAAGTTGCACACTCACACTCAACAAGTGCACACACCACACTCACAAGTACACACACCACACACAACAAGTACACACCCCTTACACTATCACTTAACAGTGCACACACCACACACTACAACTTACCAAGTACACACACCACACACTATCACTTAACAATACACACACCCACATACAATTACCAAGAAACACACACCACAAAACTATCACTTAACAGTACCACACACCACCACTATCACTTAACAAGTACACACACCAACACACTATCACTTAAAAAGTACCACACACCAAAACTATCACTTAACAGTACAACACCACACACTATCAATTAACAAGTACACACACCACACACTATCACTTAACAAGTACACACACCACACACTATCACTTAACAAGTACACACACCACACACTACAACTTACCAAGTACACACACCACACACTATCACTTAACAAGTACACACACCACACACTATCACTTAACAAGTACACACACCACACACTATCACTTAACAAGTTGTGCAAGACTGGTATACAATACCGACAAGATGAAAGTTAAGACACTTGTGCAACATCTCTACAACCACGGTGCTCTAAACACCACCTCCAAGGCCGAGGGACTGATTACCTCATCTTTTGTATATAGTTCTTCGTTTTTCTTATTATGTCCAAGAATTTGTATTGATAAAGCCACTGGATGGCGAAACGTCTACAATAAAGATAACCAGATGTTGCACAAGTGTCTTAACTTTCATCTTGTCGGTATTGTATACCAGTCTTGCACATCATGGGATCTTGTTACAAAGAATTCTTCAACACTTGTTCAACCTTTGGACGAAGACCTACTTCGACTAGTGGATGGTACCACTATGACCCCGCCTCCGCCTGCTTGACCTCACCTCACTACAGTATATAAGCCACGTCTACGGCCCTATGCTGTACATTCTACAAGATTGATGGACTGAACACATCGACTCCGGCTGAGGGACTGATTACCTCATTTCTCCTCCTTCCTTTCGCCTTCCTCTTTGTATTGGACTGATGAAGCCACTGTGTTGGCGAAACGTTTTTCCCGAATAAAGATTCCCATATGCTTCATAAGGGGTCTCAATCTTCATAAGGGGGATTACCAACAGACCCCTGGGAGTCTTCAAGCTGGCACTGGACAAGCACCTAAGTCGGTTTCTGACCAGCCGGGCTGTGGCTCGTACGTTGGTTTGCGTGCAGCCAGCGTAACAGCTGGTTGATCAGGCTCGTATCCACCAGGAGGCCTGGTCACAGGGCCGGGCCCCGGGGGCGTTGACCCCCGGAACTCTCTCCAGATAGCCAGATAGCAGCAAATGGTGGCCGGGTGGCCTGGTGAGAAACATCAACAAACGCTGAAAGGGAACACAGGGAGGTAACAAAACAACACAGCAGGTAAAAAAGGCAACACAGCAGGTAACAAAACAACACATCAGGCAAAAAGGCAACACAACAGGTATGCAGCGCTGTATAGTCCTTGTGGCTTAGCGCTTCTTTTTTATTATAATAATAATAATAACAAAAAACAGGTTAACAAGGCAACACAGCAGGTAAAAGGCAACACAACAGGTAACAAAACAACAAATCAGGTAACAAGGAAACACAGCAGGTAACAACACATCAGGTAAAAAGGCAACACAACAGGTAACAAAGGCAACACAGCAGGTAACAAAAACAAACATCAGGTAACAAGGCAACACATCAGGTAACAAGGTAACACAGCAGGTAAAAAGGCAACACAGCAGGTAACAAAACAACACATCAGGTAAAAGGCAACACAGCAGGTAACAAGGAAACACATCAGGTAACAAGGAAACACAGCAGGTAACAAAACACATCAGGTAACAGGCAACACAGCAGGTTA